GGGTGGAAAAGTAGAGAGGAGATGGGTATTGATGGGACTAGTTATACGCAGGCAGACAATTCCAAGGTGGTGGCCACCGACACGAGTAAGCAAGTATAGAGTATACGACTTATCTAACTCGTTGTAGTGAAAAATACAGTCTACAGTGGGTCTATTCTACACATCATCTACCCCTCTGACCCTCGCAGTCTTTGCGAAAACGTCTCCTCATGTGGCCACTCCTGAACTCTTTGCGCTGCATATCGCGTCACACATGGTGACACAGTACGACCACGTGACCAAGGCGTTCGTGGACGTTGAATCCCTCAAGTGGTCGCGCATCCCCGTGCAAGGCCGCGAACACGAACACTCGTTCGTGAGGGACGGCGAGGAGAAGCGGGTCACGAGTGTGGAGGTCGACGGTACTCTAGGCAAGGATAAACTAGTGGGAAAGGTCACCAGTGGAATCCAGGACCTCTTGGGTGAGTTTCATGTAATGTCAAAGTCTTTAATTGACCCGCGCAGTGCTCAAGAGTTCTGGTTCTGCGTTTGAGAATTTCCTCAAGGATGAATATACGACGCTCGTCCGTACGTCCTTCTAGTCGTCCCCATTGGCAACAACTAAACATGTCCGCCAGCCGTGTCCGACCGGATCTTTTCGACGTCTGTGGATCTGCAGTACACGTTTGGCTCGCTCTCTTTTGGGTCGATGGACAAGGTGGGGAGTGTGGATGGGGACGCACAGTTTAACAAGGTGGCTGCGAGTGCCAAAGAGACGACGCTGGAGGTGTTTGCGACGGACGAGAGTGCGAGTGTCCAGGTGAGGCGGGCCAGGGCTATTTACTAAACTGACTTTGGTAGGCCACGTTGTATCGGATGGCATCGGATATCATTGGCAAGAATGCGAGCGTAGAGAGTGTGAGCTACAAACTGCCAAACAAACACTATATCCGTGCGTACCACCCTCCATACGAACATGTCCCCTTTCTGATCGCTATGACAACAGCCGTGGATCTGTCGTTCTTCCAGCTCGCCAACACCAAGCCAGACGAGGCAGAAGTGTTTTGTCCCGTTGCGGCGCCTAGGTGAGTCGAGTGCGTCTGCATCTCTGGCTGCCCCCTTCTTACCAGCCCTCTAGTGGTTACATTACTGCGACCGTATCTCGGGCGTGAAGGAGAGAAGATGGTTGGGTTCGGTTTACGAGGATAACATGTCGGCGGATAGGCTAATTTGAAAAGTAGTCGGAATACAATCGTAGATTCTCACGGCCACTTGTGCAAATCAGAAGCAGCCAGTTTGAGTATTTGCGTGATGGCACCCTAATCGCACATATTCTTGCAGAATTATGAGTGAAACTTGGATACATGCACGCCGAGCTGAGGTGCTGGTCTGCCGTGCCAACGCACTGTTCGTGGCTGATACCAGCCAGCAAATTCAACGAGGATTACGATGCGGTGCATACAAAGCAAGCGGAATGAAATGGGTGACTCTCTGGTAGAGGGAGCGGTGACGTCATGGCCATTGCCCATTTGGCTGGTACATTATATATAATACGAGCTTTGCTCTCCTCTTCTCCCGCTACACGATCTGCATTTTACACTACTGGGACTGGGACTAGTTGCAACGACGACGACTAGCAGATTGTAAACTATCCAGATACTCTTCGACTCGTCGTTTGTATCGACACTCCACTCTGAACCTCTGTCTCCACTCTACTCCATCGATATACCCAACAATCTCCACGCACTCTCTGACGCGATTCCTTACGACTCTCTGCCGAGTGTGAATTCATTCCGACCAGTTAGCCCCTGACCTGCACTCTCTGCTCCTCTCTACTTCTCCACTAATTCGCACGCCATGGGTGGAGATCACAAGTGTCCCGTCTGCGGATCTACCTTTACAAGAAGTCAACATGTCGCTAGACATATGCGATCCCGTACGTCTCCGTCACGCTCACCATTGCACTCACTGACCCCGCTCATCCTTGCACTCACTAACCTCACTCTCATCCTCATGGTTTGTACTCGCACTCTTGTACTCCCTCTATTCTCCGTGAAATGTATATGACGGGCGATGGCGCATGACGGATGGCTGATGGCCACTCGCCCTCGAATACTCTATGAATCCTCACAGACACGGGCGATCGTCCATACAAGTGCACCCACTGCGGTGACCAATTTGCAAGAAGGTATGGCATCCGTTTATACCCTTTCCCTTTCGCTCCCACTTTTTTTTCGTTGGCTCTTGCCCGTTTTTTGCCATTTTGGGCTATGCGACGGCTGCTGACGCGACATTTCTCCATTGGATCACTAGTGACCTGCTATCACGACATGTGAACAAGTGCCATTCTGTCGACAAAAAGCCGAACAACAATAACAATAATGCATCCAATGCCGCATCGGCGGCGACGGGACGTCGAAAACCACGACAATCCTCGCTCTCCCAACCAAACGCTACTACGACGACGACCTCGGTGCACCCACCCGGGACGTCGAGTTTGACTAGTATCAATCCTGCGGGTAACCCGATTCGTGGCGGGTACCCCATCCATAATGACCCGTTTTCGAGTGGCAGTCTCTCGAGTTCGTATAATCGACCACCAATGGACGCTCCCTCGCTCTCCTCTTCGAGCTCGCTCGCCAGTGCGTCATCGGCATCGGCCTCTCTCGATAGTCTCCCCCACGAACCCGTGTTCCATCTCCCACACCTCCCCCATCATAATGTACATCACTACAACCCACACATCATATCGCAGGGTCCGACCACCAACGCGGATATACCTGGACGACATGGGTCGTGGGGTGCCATGAGCTCGATTGCACCGTATGGGCTCGCCTCGATGGACCATGCAAATCCCTATAGTGCGAGTGGGAGTCAGCATTCTGGGAGTAATGCGAGCTTGCCATTCGACCCCACGTCCAACTTGACGTTTGATTTGTATGGTGCGACGTCGTCGTCGAGTCCGACCAAGCTCGTGCACTCGTATAACGATTTGCCAACGCCACTAGCTGCTCCATCGCTCCCTCCATTCCGAAGCTTGGCAGCTACGTCGGACCAACGACCACCGTCGAGCGCGCAAGAGGGTATTTCACTCGAGTACGGCCTCTCGTCCCTTCCACATCCCTCGGACCGACCACCCTCCCAACAACAATCTCACTCTCAAAACCCGAGGCTGGGGAATGGCGTGCACCATCACCGCGAATTTTCGTCTGCCTTTGGGTTAATGTCGCTCGACGACCCCGCCGTGCTCGCTGGCATTTCTACCGACGGTGTCCCCTTTTTCGAACAAGCCGTCAACTATTTGCCAAGTGGTGGAGCCTCGGGTCCGAGTGGGCTCTTGACCAATGGAATGGGATTGGGAATTCCGATGACGGGCGAGTTTGATGCGCAGACGCCCAACACGAAAGAAAAGGATATTGTGGCACTTAGGGAAATGTGGGCTGCGTGGTTGAGAGATCCGACGACGGGTCTTAAACCGGATGGCACCGAGATGGGTCGTCCCGAGTTTCCATCCCCAGTCATCACGACGACTGAAGTTGCGAAAGAAAGTGCGCCTCAGGGGTTGCATCGACGATCTAGCTCTTTTGCGGGGAGCACAAAGAATGCCACGAATGCGAACACGACCGCGACTGGGGGAGGACTTGCACAGCAGATTGCAAATATGAGAAGCGCGAGTGCGAGTCTCAAGAGCCCCGGTCCACTTGGAAAACTCCAGGGTGCCTCTATTGGCGCACCACTCATGCCACTCGCGCAACCGACGCTCCACGGCGGACGCAACGTTGTAATGGGACTCGAAGACCAAGCCTCACGTTTACACGGCTACCACCACCCTCAGCAATACGTTGCGGTCAAACGAGAAGATGGAGCAGAGGGCGTCCCGATTCCGCCCCATGGAAGTGCGCTCGCCCCGCCTACACCTGCCGTCGCTCCCAACCCCGGTGGTGCGGCTGCTCCATTACATGTGGGCAACCCCGAGAGTCTAAAGAGTTATGAAGAGGCGGTATTGGCGAGAAAGGCGCCCGTGCTCAAGTTGCCGATCAAGATGAAGACGAGGGACGGGTCGTCCAGTACCAGTCCGCCCAACCAGCCTGTTTCGAATAATGCCCAACCGACGTCGACTGGTGGGAGTGGAGGTGGGAGCCCAAACAATAATGCCATTCTCCCCATTTCACAAGCGGGTCGTGCTAGTGGAATCGGCATGAGTATCCCGGCCAATGCCACGGTCAACATGGCGAGTATCGCTCCGTTGAACGTGAACCAGCATTTGGGAGGGGGAGTGGCGAGCCTGAGTATTCAGCAACAACAGCAGTTGCCCACAGCCGCTGGAGCGAGTAGTGTGCCTCCTGGTGCGACGCCCAACCCCGCCATGCAAATGCACCTCGAGTCTTCGCAGGCTGCTATTGCGAATCAGGCGGCGGCTGCTGCGGCTGCCCTTGCGGCGGGTATGAATCCTGGCACCGTTGGTAATGCCGGGTCGAACGCGGGTGCGACGACTACGAACGTGAATGGTGTGGATCGACCAGTGATCGCCATGCCGAAACCGAGGTCTCGTCCGGGCACGTCCAGCGGTCCCAACTCGCGTCCGGATAGCGTGCAGAGTCGACCTTCTTCTCGTCCTGGAACCGCGTCGTCTGTAGGTGCGGGTAGTGACAGGGGAGGGCCATTTGCGCATCAACCTCATCAAGGAGGACAAGGTTATGGATCGACTCACTCGTCTCCGCCTTCGCGTCCCAATACAGGGTACAATATGCCTTCTCATTCGCACTCGCAGCCCAACTCGCGACCTTCGACGTCGGCCGGTCCGTCTCCTTCGTACGCGTTCGTGTTTGCCCCGCCTGAGCAGTACCAAGGCATGTCGCCCACGGGACCCAACTACATGTTCCAACCTGGTAGTTTGCCCAAGGACATGCTCCTCTCTACTGGAATGGGCGACTTTTCTCATCAGCTCGGTGGTGGAGGAGATACGAGTATGACTGGAAACGGTGGTCGACCGTCGTATAAACGATTGGCCTCTCAAACACTCGAACCCGCCTCGACAAAACGCCCGCACTTGCGCAGGGGCGATACGAATTTCCAGCCTACCGCCGAAGACGGCAGTCATCCCAATGATGGTATGGAGGGAATGGAAGATAGCGAGGGTATGAGTGATGCTGGGAGTGAACGAAGTTATGGATCTGTTTCGCGCTCGCGTGGACACAAGATGAGGTCGCCGTTGCTTCCTGGGGGAGGTGGTGGATTGGCGAGCGCAGGTTTGACGGGTGGGAGGACGTGGTCGGCTGCCATGTCGGGCGACGCGTTTGCCCATCAGGGAGGGGCGAGTGCAAGGCGCATGAGTGAGCCTGCGGTGGCGGCGACCCGGATGATGGTCCGTATGCCTGGTGGTAGTGGACGTGGTGGTGCACAGTCTTGAACGGCTCTCTAAAGTTCCTTTTCGTCATTTTTTTTGTTCTTTTTGTTATGTTTTTGGGGTCTGCTGGCGGTTTTATCTTGAATGGTGGGTAAATTATGTGATATGTATTGAATAAAACTCTGACTGCTTCCTGTAGATGTGATGTAGCTATTACAAGACTCCCCAAAACCAAAACGTTTCATCCTCGTTTTCCTCAAAGCTAGACTGGAGGGTACAGGCGTTTTTAGAGCCTCTTATACCCCTCTTTCAAAAACCGGAGACTGCGCAACGGTTTCTCTCTGCATCCACACACTCTCTCTCTATCCCCCCAACAATCCCAAGTGTTTTTTTGGCATCTCACCATCGCTACTATTTCGTACCCATCGAGGATGGGGGGAAAAGGATTAATTCAGCACAAACTCAAGACGTACCATATCTGCGGTCTCTACGGTCCTCTGGTGCATTTCTCTCAAAATAATGGCTGTCTGCTTCTCTCTCCGTATCATCTTGCATGGTGCTCCTCTCTCTCTCATCACCCATCCAGTCTAATTTCTCGTAATCTATATTGTCCATGTCTCTCTCTCTCTCTTTCTTGATCTCTCTTCTCAGACTCCTTTCCACTGAACAGTGATGATGTATAACCAGTCTGGCTCCAACTTTCCCCTCCCCCTCCAAAAAAGTCGGTTTTCCATGTCGTGTGGGTTTCCTCACCTGCTCTGCTCACTCCATCTTGACTGCTCCATCTCTTTTCTCTCTTTTGTAAAACTACCATATCTCCTAGCTTCCAATTCAAGAATAAAGAGAACATTATTAACTCAGCTTGGGAACCAAGTTCACTCGGTTCATGTCGAGGAATAAACGTTGTAATGTCGTTTATTAATTCTTCTACTCTCGCACTACGATGGTACCCGTCGTACATTGCCAGGATGCTTTTGAATCTTCTACCCAAGTCCATAAGATAAGATACCCCCCTAGATCTATTCCTCTGATGAACCCGACACGATCACGTCGTCTGCACAAGTGTGAGAAACCTATAAAGGTATGATGAAAGGATTTCTCACCAATTTTGAGCACGGCTCGAACTAGTTGGGTCGCCAGGAGATATTGTTGGCGTTTTGAGATGAGCGGGTCATACACAAACTGCTCCTTCATGTCTAAAATTGGTCAAAATTAGTAATTTCAGTGATATAGATCACTGAGAATACACACCATTGTGTCCCTTGCCGACACAGTCGACACCGAGCCGTGAGCTTCCCTCTGCGATCTGCTGACTCTTGACTGCTGCCAATGTCTCGATCGGTGGTAGACCACTGTTCTCAGCTAGAGCCAGTGGAACTGCATCCAGGGCTGCGGAAAAGGCGCGCATTGCGTATTGTTCGATGCTCGGAATCTAGGGCAAAGCGTCAGCATCTAGATAGCATAACAACGTTCGCTTGAGATGAGTAATACACGAACCTCATCGGCAGCTTTGGCTACAGCGAGGGAACAGCTGATCTCTGCGGAACCTCCACCATATACGACTCGATTATCTACCACCAAGTTTCGGACGACACATAGAGCGTCGTGTAGTGCTCGTTTAGCCTCGTCTACAATCTAAAGGACGCTTGAGTGTCAAATTAAAGTAACAAGAAAGTCGACTCACCATCTTGTTGCTACCACGAACAAAGATGGTGACTGCTCGGGTATTTGCGCATTCCTCAATCACCATCATCCT